GTGTGTGTGTGTGTGTGTTTCGGCGAGGGAGCAGCAGCGGGGCGGTGAAGGTCCCAATGAAATGTAAACGGTGTTTGTGCTTGCGGACGTCCAGTGGGAGATGAGGCAGATGCATCCGTCCCTGCGGGTAATGTACACCGTTTTCTGAGACCACCTGCCCCATACGCCTTTTTGGTTTTGCTTTTGCTTTTGTTTTTGCTTTGGGGGTCCATCGTGACTGCTGCGGCGGCAGCAGGGCCGGCTGACGTCAAACGCTCTGTGGGCTTGGGCCCCTCCTCTTCGCGAGCCCCCCGGCTGGTTGGCCACGCACAGCTGCCGCCCATGCACCTCGCAGCTGCCAAGTCTGTGGAGGACACGTGCCACGGCACCGGCGTCGTCTTGGGTGAGTGTATTTTCTATGTTTCTGTGCAGCGCCTGGCACCACAACCGCCGGACGCAGTTGTGCAAATGTGCTTGGGCGGCGTCTGAGGTGCGATTGGGGATCGGGTGCCACAAGGCGCCTGCGTCACGGGCTGGCCTCCTTTTTTTTTGGTGGGGGGAACCTAAAAGCAAACAGACTACCCGCCCGCACCGACTCCGCCTCTGGTTGAGGGAGCCGCACCGCTGGGATGTCTGCCGTTGCTGCGTGGCACCTTGTGAAGGCCATTCACGAGGCGCCGGCTTTCCTTGGCGTGCATGCCAATGCCTCAATGCGTGCAGGTCCAACACTGCGCCTGGGGTTGCCATTTGCTAACGGCGTTCACCTGAAATTTGGCTGCTCTGCTGCGGTGAAGGATTCATTGGAAAAGGTGGAGGGGTTGCTTGCCCTGATGGGGTTTCGGGAGTCTTTTGTTGGCACAACCCAGCACACGCCGGTTGTTGGGGAGGGCTTTACTGGAGCTCAACGTCCCGCAAGCCCTCAACCTCTTTGCAGAAGTCGTGCGTAATGGTTTCAGGTGCGACAAGCACGGTGAGGATTGCAGTGTGCCGATTTCCATCGGTGTCACAGTCCAACATCTCCGTGTCGGTTAGCCTTGCTGAGTGTGTGTGTCCGCATCGTGACAAATAACCTGGCCCCGCTATTGGCACAACTTTTGGGTAAAATGCTCGGACACACACGATGAGCTGTGGGGCTGTTCAAGATTCCCGCGCATGTCTTCCGGATGCTGGGAAAAGTGAGTACTCAACTCCACCCTCAACGCCACCTTTTGGCGGGCGTGATTGCTGTGGGTGTGCCGCTTATTTTGTCAGCAGCCGCCGCCAGGAGTCTGTTGGCGTTAGCGTCGAAATGTGGCAGCTACACGCGAAGGTGACCCCGTATCAATTGAGGCGTGCACTAGTGGGAGGCGCTGCCTTGATGACTCTGACTGTTCTCGCAGCCTTCGGCTTTTACTTGGACCAGCGCCACGACTGCGGCCGATTTGTTTGTTTGTTTGGGAGAAGATTTTCCATCAATGAGTTTCCCACTCATGGACTCCACACACACGAAGCAGTGTAATTTTGCGGGCGTGTACGTGTTTGCGGTTCCTGTTTTTTTTTTGTTTTCGGCGGTGTACGCCCTTGCACCACTCCGCCGGTCACAGTTGTAATGCACGCCATTCCCGCAAAAACCCGGCCTGGGGATCTTGGGGCCGTTTGGCTGCTTTGGCAAATTCTCGTTCCTCGATTCCCGCGGGGCGTGCTCCTTGTGGGGTCAGGGCCGTAGCTAGAAGGCGTTGCCTCGGCGGCGGTGTATGCTGGATTTTACTTCTTCCTTTGCGGCAACGGCATTTTTCATTTTTTTTTTCTTCGGGATGACGCGACCACCGTCTGGCGCCGCGACACGCCACTTCGCAAAAAACGCAGCGTCGAAGGGGCCAGTTGCCTGCGATGTGCCCGAGGCACAGCCCAATGAGGGGGCGCGAAGAAGGCACGCGAAGGAATTGGCGGGCCGTGCCGTGGAGTGAGGACGTGCCTTTGCGATGGGCCGACACCGCACACTTGTCTTTGCGTGTGTCAGTCTCTCTGCTGAGTGGTTCCTTGTGCTCGGTGCACCGTGAAAGGGAGTGGCTTCGGCAGCTGTGCCGGAAGACCGTTTGATGACTCTTTGGGAGAGAAGTGTCGCAAACATATTTTTCCTCATCGTCGTCTGTGGTTTCGTCGCTCGGATCGCTGCGGTGCCTTTTGTTCGCGTCACGGTCTGCAGCTGACGCGCTTCTTCTGGCGCATGTGTGCGTGTGTCGCTGGTCCATTTCAAATTGAACAGTTTGCACGATGCATGCTCGGCGACAAGGTGAGGGGCATTTACGGTGCCGGTGCACCGCTGCTTTGGCCGCTCACTCCGCTGCTGATCTCCGCCGTCTGGCAGTGGGCCCTCCCGCTGCCGAACACACTTGCAAGGGGAGGCGGCATGTGCGGCAGTGGCTGGCACCACGCAAGGCGCCACAGTCCTCTGAGCCCCTCTAGCAGTCTTTTTTTTTACTTTTTAATTTCCGTCTTTGTTGTGTATTATATGCGTTTGTGCCTTTGTGCCTTTGTTGTGCCTTCTATTTTGATTTTTGTCGTTCTTTTTTTCTTTGGCAACTCCTGTTAATAGGGAGCGTTGGGGGACGGCTTAAAAAGTAAAAAATAAGTCAGCAATCAGCGAGGTCGTTTCTGTTTTTGTATTGTTCTTCCCTTCTTTTTGGCATCGCCTTTTT